ATAATATAATTCATGAAATACAAATATTTCTTAAGTACAGTCCTTTTATTTTAATGATTCTGTCCTGCTGGATTGTGACATGATTTGTTTGTGTACAAACTAATACACTATCAGAGTTTTATATATTTATACTTCTCATTCAACCACAGTTAAATTCACTCTATCTAGGAGGCTCAGTTTATATGGATAGTTTTTATTTTTACAATAACAAGCTGCAATGAAAACAAGTAAAAATGAAATAAAATATGACTTTCTACTTCTTGTCTTTTTTAAATGTAAAGAGTAGAAAGTACAGATWATTGTGTGAAAATGTAAGAAGTAAAAGTAAAAAGTGCGCTGAAAAACAATTACTCAAGTAAAGTACAGATACCCAAAAATTCTACTTAAGTACAGTAACAAAGTATTTGTACTTGTCTGGAGTCAATCTAATTGAAGTCACAGCTAATCCACTTTAGCCACTTCAGTCATAGTGACAGATGTTGATTTATAGTTTGGTTCCAGCAGAGAGCCAGCCTCCACACACTCAGCACTAACACATCTCACAGTCTGGAACTAAAGCATTTAGAGCGTCGAATCAAAACAGCTGCAACTCTTTTCAGTGCAATGGTTTCAGTTTTAAACTGGCATAATAGGCAGGGGGTGATGTGTATCATGTTAAAAATGCTAGGATATCACTATAAATAAACACACACACATTTTTTTAACTTGACTGCCTCAGGAGGAGGTGAGGATTAACGTTTACTGAGTCACAGCTCAAACATCACGCTGCAGCCACTGAAACAATTAAATCAGTTCATTTTGTTCCTGGAAAACCTGCAACCTGAATAATTCTAGGAACTTAAAACAGCTTTGATATTTCCCACACCCAGCCTGAGGAAGGACCCCCCAGTCCCCAGCCTGAGGGGAGACCTGTCCACAGCCCTGACTGCTCAGAGCAGATAGGACACAAAAACTGGTGGTCATAATGTTTTGGCTGATCTGGGCTGGTTCTTGGAAGTGGTTTAGGCGTGACCGAAGAGAACAAAGCGGAGCAGGCAGTTCCTGAACCGCAGCAGCAGGATTTAGAGTCGTGAAAAGTGACTCCACCCTCAGGTAAACAGTCTGACTTCAGTTTTGCTGCACTTCATCTCACTCTTAAATAAATATTAACACAGTTTCATGTAAYGTGTTGTTGATATAAAAGTGTGTTTAACTGTTAGATCCTGGTATTCATAAGAGTAAAAATCAAATGTTGCAGTTAGGTTGTTATCCTTTTTTTTTTTTTAAAGGGGATATATGATGTAAAATCAACTTTTTTGAGTTTTATATCATGTTATAATGTTATACTCTCATAAAAAACATGTCCAAAGCCTTGCTCTGACTCATTCATGCATGTTTGAGAAATCCTGCAGTGTTTTTATGAAGCCATGCTGAGGAGCAAAACGACAGGTGGGGACCAGAAACACCTTTTGGTACCAGAAACACCCCTGGGACGTGTCTTTAAGCCGAACTTCCTCATGACAGAGCACCCCCCCGCACGCACACACACCCCGCCCATGACTCCTGCAGGCTCTTGGCAGTAGCAAAGCAAAGTGAAAGTGAAACCTAACTGTCTGCTGCTCTCAACATTATTTCTCACTCACTGAAGCTCATTTCAGATTTAGAAGAGGAATTGATGAGAAGATAAGTT